AGTCTAATGAGACAATGGGACATGCACCCACCTCCCCTGAATGGATTCTTGATTCCCCACTGCTCGCTCCCCTGTTGGCATCTGGGACCTTGCCTGGCATCCTCTTCCCCACTCCCATCCATTGACACCACCCTTGGCCCCTGGTGGGGTCCTGGGTGCAGGGAGGGTCAGAATCAGGCATGGGTGCCCTGCAGTGGACATAACATAACAATGGTCATCTCACCTGGGCTAGCAGCACCATGACACTGTCCAGTGGGCAACTAAGTGGGAGCACCCCCCCCACACACACACACACATGGCATGGAGAGGTAGTGTGTGGAGAATGCCCCTCAAGGTCATCTATGGGACAGTGGCCAGCAGGAAGGAAAATGCCTGATTTGACTTCCCTGTCCCATGCTGGCATCTGGTAGGTTATGGGAGGGAACCTAGCCAGACAGGTGTTAGGCCCAAGTATGCGCAGGTTTCTCGAGGCATGAAGCAGCCCCAGGATACTGTGAGCTTCCTTTTGTGCTCCTGACTGAGGGGATGTTCCCTCAGGCTGTGTTATGCTTGGACCTTCTTTTCCTCTTTCCCAATGTCCTGAGTATGGCTTGTTTTAGTTCTCTCTGGCCAGCAAAAACTACTCTCTGGGGATGAAGGAGGGTGTACAACATGTGTAATTTCGGTGATTCTGTCTTGGAGTTAATTACTTTGCTCTTTGTGTTTAAACTGACATTGTACAATAAAAGATCATAATGAAGCAATGAAATAAGAGAGAAAAGTGGAATAAGATTCAGTTTGTAATAATTCTGTCAAGGAAATCAGCAGGTTAACGAGATATACCTTATCATTATTATGCTAATATTATATAATATTGGGTTGTAGGAAAAATCACGATGTATTTTTTTCTATGCAAAAATGTGTCATGTCTTTTCTCAAAACTCAATAATATACAATATAAAAAACATAGCGTCAGTATAATATTAATATGTTCACATATTAATATGAACACATTAAGATTATCATAATTATTATTCACAAAATGTCATGGAAGGGAATCTAGAAAGGAGAACTTAATGAGCACTATATCCCAGGCATTGTTCTGAGCACTTAACATGTATTAACTTGTATTGTCCTAATAATTCAATCAAGTAGGTGTTTATTACCTTTCTCCATTTCGCTGAGGTACAGAAAAATTAAGTGACTTTTCCACAACAACATGATAATTTTACTAAGTTCAAGAAACATTTCACTCAATTAACATCCATAAGGATACTCCCAGAAGTAAATAAAGGATATATGCAGACATAATCTATTCATTTGCTTTAGCCAGTCCTGAGAACAATAACCACTATAGTTTTGTGCTTGACTATATTACTTAAAATATTTTTGGGTGGCTGGCAGGTGGCATGGTGGTTAAGGGCACTGAACTCCCACATGGCCAATTGTAGTTCAAGTCCCGAACCTGGTGTCTTGCTTTCTCTCTCTCACACACACACTCTGTTCCTCTCTGGTCAAATTAAAATAAATAAATAAAGCTAAATAAAATAATTCTTTAAAAAAATATTTTGGTTACTCTTGCTTTTGTTTGAGATTGAGAACATTTCTGTCCTTCTGTGTTTACTCTCCAAGTTTATTGCTTTGTTGTTTTTGACAAGACCAGTGAGTAGAGTGTGATTTTTCATGCACTTCTAACTCTGCACTCCATGCTTCTGCAAGGTCAGGCCCATGGCTGTGCATTTAAACAGATGTTAACTACTTGGACTTCTCAGTGCTGTGATTGGAATGAGCTTTAGTATTATAGTTACATCTGAAATATCTCTCTTACCTTTATGAAGAGTCCTCTTTATTATACCCTGCTAAATGTGCAGCAATATCTCTAAAAGCTAGTTAAATATGTACCTATATAACTTGAGTTGAAACATATTTTCATTCATTTGTTATTGTTACCAGTGGGCTTTAGAAGTTTGCATATCCTGGGCCAGCAGGTTGTGTGGTAGTTCAAGTGGTTGGATCCCACATAGCATACTGCATGGTTTGAGTCCCAAACTAATGCCTCGAAAATTACACTGAATGCACATGTGCGGGTACCCAACATTCTGAGGGGAGGATGGAGGTGAAGTGTGATCATCCCCTGGGGTGGTGATTTCTTACTTTCCCTCTGTCTCTCTCTCTCTATCTCTTTCCAGCTAGTGTATGCTAGCACACTAGTGCTCGATAGCAAAACTAAACAAAAAAATAAACAAACAAAAAACCTTTGCATCTCCTAAGGGATGAGTTATGGACTGATACAAAAAGAGGCTCTGGGGTAAATTGGGGCAGAGGGAGTAAAGGAGAATGGTAGCCAAGGTGTAAGGTTCATTATTTCTCTATAGTTTTGCTTGGGACTACCTCTGCCAGTAGTAAAGTATACTCTGTAAATGTACGTACTACCAAAATAAAATAACCTAATGATGACTTTTTGTAACTTGCATTTTTGTTTGCAGAGTCTATAAATACAACAATACCATTCTCCTTCAAGGGAATACGATTTCCTAAGGTATTGTTCAAGATTCATTTTGTACCTTCTTTTCACCCCCTATGTTAGAGCGTGGCCATGCGCAATTGAGAGATAGGTGGGGGAACACTCTCAGCAGGGTCCTGTTACATCACAATCCCTTTTCCTCACCCCTCTAGCTCCTTGGGATTCTGGGCACCTGCACGCTCCCCCAGCATACTTTCATAAATGGCTGGGCACTTGAACCTGCTTATCTAGTCATGTGGCTTCCAGGCTTGTGGGCACTTGGCTACCACTGTACCACAGTGGCTGGGCCTACTTTGTGTGTGTATACACACAGTAACTATTTACAGTAACAGATGTGTTGAGAATTTGAAAGAGGGAATTCACAACTTCTTCTCACCATTGTGATTTGAGATTAAGGTTCAAGACTCAGCCATGATATTATGGACTGGTTGATGCTGCTCGTTAGCAATGGGGAAACCAGCTTCAATTCCTGCCCACCCTAAAAGCTGGCATGGTGGCATGAACCTATAGTCCCAGTAATATTGGAGGTGGAGGCAAAAAGGTCACAATATAACAAGAGTGTTTAAAAAAAAATTAAGGATTTTTTATACTTTTATTTGTTATTAGGTATTTTGGTATTTTTTTTCCTTTTGTGGAATATGGAAAATTTGGGACCACAGATAGCATAATGGTTATGTCGTTGAACTCCCACGTAGTTTATCGTGGTTTTAGTCCCGGGCCCAGTAACTTAAAATTCACGCTGGACTTGTGTGTGTGTGTGTGCCCAAAATTCTGAGAAGAAAATGGAAGAGAAGGGACTATGATATGGCCATCCCCCTGGGGGGTGATTTATCATTTTCTGTCCCCCTGTCTTTCAGGCAAGTGCACACACATTCCCTATAACAAAAATCCCCCTCTAAAAACAAACAAACAAGAGAGAGAAAGAGAAAAAGAATATGAAAAAATTGCACAAAAGAGAGTGCTGTTTTTCTTTTTCTTTTTTTTTTGGAGCGGTTTTTGCTTTAGGATGCGTGTACTTGCCAGAAAGACAGTGAGAGACAGAAAGTGAGAAAGAATATGAAAAAATTGCACAAAAGAGAGTGCTGTTTTTCTTTTTCTTTTTTTTTTTGGAGCGGTTTTTGCTTTAGGATGCGTGTACTTGCCAGAAAGACAGTGAGAGACAGAAAGTGAGAAAGAATATGAAAAAATTGCACAAAAGAGAGTGCTGTTTTTCTTTTTCTTTTTTTTTGGAGCGGTTTTTGCTTTAGGATGCGTGTACTTGCCAGAAAGACAGTGAGAGACAGAAAGTGAGAAATCACCCCCTGGGGGGATGGCCACTCCTCAATCCCTTCTCCTCCATTCTCCTCTCGGGATCTTGGGCACACATGCACACGTGCCTGGCGTGAGTTTAAGCCACCAGGTCAGGGCCTTGAACCGCAGTCCACTACATGAGAGTCCAGCGACATAGCCATTATGACAACTACTGTTCCCAAAAAGAGAGTGCTTTCTATTTTTTATTTTTGCCTTCTAACATGCATGACTAAAAGTAATAATGAGCAAACGCTCATTATTAATCTGTTGCATAGTCTTCACATAAAAACACAGGAAAAGCATTATGTATAAGTCAGCAACTCTTAATAGCCTTTAGTGTTATATACAAAGTATATAGTAAAAATTGTTTGGGAAGATTAAAATCACATAAATTATGGGCTTATTTTTTCTTGAGTTTTTATGTGAAGTTTTTTTTTTTGAAATTTAGCTTGGATATTCTTCTTTTTTTCTTTTAGGTTTTTGCTATAGGGACATGTGCTTGCTGGAGAGAGACAGAGAGAAAGTGAGCAATCACCTCTCTGAGAGAATGGCCATGTCACAATCTCTTCTCCTCCATTATCCTCCTGTGATTTTGGGCATGTACACATATGTGCCTGGTGTGATTTTCAAGCAGCTGGGTCTGAGGCTCAAACCATGTTTGGTTATGTGTGAGTCCAGTGCCTTAACCACTACACCACCTGCTGGACCCTAGCCTGGATATTCTGACTTTGTAAAAATCACTAGCACCAAAAAAAAAACAAAAACAAAAAAACAAAAAAAAATCACTAGTACTCTGATGAGTAATACCAGCATAATATTGGATAGTTGGATTACATACCCAGAAATGAAATTTTACACATTTTATAAAATAAACCTTAATAATGCATATTCTTTAGTTTATGAATGATATCTAATATTTGAAAACCTTATAGGCTGTTTTAAAAATTACAAAAACATCATCTTAGAGTAGGAGGGAAAGAAATGGATTCTATGCTCACTGAATTTAAAGGCATGTAAATTTGAAATTCAATAGAAAACTAAGAAAATTGTAACCATTTAAATAGCCTCCTTTTAGTAGAGGAAGGTTCTTATAAATATCTTTAAAATAGTAGCATCTGACATCTTATATAACTTGTGGTTCTTATTTTTTGTTTTAGGGACAATACAGATGTGTTGCAGAAGCCATTGTTGGGAATACGGAAGAAATGCTCTTTTGTTTGAATTTTACCATCATATACCACCCTCATTTGAATTAGAATAAATCGAGTATATCTTTTATTTTTCAAAGGTGTAGCTCTTGTTTTAAGGTTACCCAGAGTTTTGTTTAATCAGATTTAGAAGACCAAAGATATGGAAATGAAAAAAGGGAAAGAAGTTTATCATCACAGACCCCTAAAAACAGAAGCCACCATGCAGAGCTATGTGAAGAAGCACCCCTAACCTCTAAGGGTGGGACTGGCCTTATTTAACACATTCTTGTCTCAGACCTTTGCAGTCATGCTTCCCCAAGTATGGAATGTATAGGTGTTCTTTGTCCCCATAACTCCATTGTAAGTTGAAAATACAGCAGAGAGAAAGGGGGACCAGCATGTGGTATGATGGTTAAGGCTCTGGACTCTCCCACATGGTCAATCACGGTTTGAATCCAGGACCTGGTGGCTTGCTTTCTCACTTTCCTTCTCTCTCTCTCTGTCTCTGGTCAAATTAAAATAAGTGAACAAATAAATAAAATTAAATTTAATTCTTAAAAAAAAAAAAGAAAATAGAGCAGAGAGAAAGAATATTTAATGCATGGGGGACCAGCAGTTAGCGTAATGGCTATGTCTCTGAACTCCCATTTAGTTGACCATGGTTTGAGTCCCGGACTCCGTGGCTTAAACTCACGCCAGGCGTGTGTGCATGCGTGCCCAAGATCCCAAGAGGAGAATGGAGGAGAAGGGATTATGCCGTGGCCATCCCTCCCTGGGGGGTGATTTCTTGCTTTCTGTCTCTCTGTCTCTCTCTATCTTTCTGGTGAGCGCACACGCCCTATAGCAAAAACCTCTCAAAAACAAAAAATAAAATAAAAAGAAGAAGAAAGGATATTTAATACACGGAACCTACTGAACATTGTCTTATCTTTGCCTGCCTAAATGTGCTCAGAACACATATCTCTAACACAAAGCCTATTTTATAATAAAGTGTGGAGTAGCTCATGTAATTTATTGGATGCTGTACTAAAGTGGAAACCAGATGGTTGTATAGGTTTCCAAGAGTATTGTTTCTACTGAATGTGTATCACTTTTGCATCTTTTTTTAAAAAAATTATTTATTTATTTAATTCCATTTGTTATTGTTATTTCTTTATTTTACACCAGAGAGAGAGAGAGAAAGCGAGAAAGCAAGCCACCAGGTTCAGGACTTGAACCATGGTGGGCCATGTGGGAATCCAACGCTCTTATCCACCACTCTACCTGCCGGCCCCAACTTTTGCATCATTTTAAAGTCAAGAAATCATTACATTGAAATATTGTAAGTCAGGGGGCTGTAGTTTTTTATTTTATTTTTTTTTCTGCTCACATATCACTTCTTCAAAGAGCTCCTTCCTGACCAGTGTTAAAAGATATGTAGCAGAGGCTTTAGTCAAAAAGAAGTTTATTTTTCTCGCATCCAGGACTGACGTGGTGCCTCGAAGACCCAGGCATCTTCTTTCTGGCTCTGGTCTGAATGGTCCAGAATGTTCCAGAATGACTCCTGACTGTCTATGATACTTTAACACCACCATTGAAATGTTTATAGTCAGATATTATTATTTCCTAAAGTTTTTCTTTTTTTTCTTTCTTTTTTTTTTTTTTAAAGAGGCTGTTGCCATGGGGGACATGTGCTCACTGGAAAGAGACAGACATGGTGAAAGGGAACATGAGAAATCACCACTCGAGGTGGATGGTCATCATCCCACAATCCCTTCTCCTGGGATCTTAAGCATGCGTGCACATGTGCTTGGCGTGATTTTTAAGCCACCAGGTCCAGGACTGAAACCGTGGTTGGCCATGCGGGAGTCCAGCAACGTAATCACTATGCCATCTGCTGGCCCCTGATTTTTAAAGTTTATTTTTTAGTTTCTTCCATAAGAAAGAGACCGAGAGAAAGTGAGTGAAAGCATCCCTAAGAGGATCTTGATTCTGTAATTCACCTCCAGCCTCAGCCAGGCCTGGATCATGAGCTTGCTTATGTCTGGCACACTCAGGGAGGTCTCTAGAAGTGATTCCAGAACATTCTTATGTGAATCAGTCTCAAAGATTTTTTTTTCTGTTATGCCACCTTGTGACCCCCCTAGACATCGTTTTAAGTCTCACTTTCATTGCTCATAAAGACTTAATTGTAAAGATACTGCTTATATATTGGCCTTGTATTCTTTCTCTTGGTGTCACTAGGATTTTCCGCATAATTGCTCTTCGAATTGCTTCCCTGTATTTGCAGTATTCTAACTGGCTTGGTTGATCTGATTTTAATTTGTCCTATAAGATCTACTATTAAGAAAAAAATAAGTTTACAGAGCTGAACTTTTCCTTGCACCTGAACAGTTCTGCAATCTCATATTTCTCCTACCAAACCTGCTCCCTCCTTTGGCAAATAACTGGTTCTATGAGTCAACGAATTCCTTAAGCTTTATAAGAATTGCTGGGGATTTCCATGTTGCCTGTGGAAAAGTGAAGTTCTTTTGAGTTACACAGTAATTAGTGACTGTTTCATTGTGTTCGCTTTCCAAACTCATTTACAAATTACACATTTTCTTATTCTTATTTTTTGTCTTTAGTGAATAAGTAGAATTGTTTTTAGAAACTTCCCCTTGATCTGCAAATATAACTCAACTGAATCATAAACAAAATCATAAGCTGTTCTTATATTTTGATGAGTTTGTGGCACCATCACAAGCACAATGGGGACAACTGTATGGTTTGTGGAAGCAGAATTTCCCCTCACCAGTGGTTGTAATGGTTTACTTGTGTGGCCTTGGACAGCTAAGGCTGACAGACTTACGACTCTGTATAAAGAGAGCTGAGGTGGCCAATTTTCAGAAAAACTAGAAGGTCTAAATTAACAAAAACCAAAAGAGATCTAGAAGGTGGTCATTTTATTAGAGATCTCTTAAAACTGGAAGGTTCAGGTCATTTTCATAATTACTTTTGTGGAAGAGTAACAGAAATCTTTTCTTCTTTTCTTTCTTTCTTTTTTTTTTTTTTTTGAGAGATTTTTGCTATAGGGTGTGTGTGCTTGCTGGAGAGACAGAGAGATAGAAAGTGAGAAATCACTCCCCAGCCATGCTGCAATCCTTTCTCCATTCGCTTGGGATTTTGGGCATGCACATACATGCACCTAGCGTGAGTTTCAAGCTGCTGGGTCTGGGACTCGAACAGTAGTTGATTATGTAGGAGTCCAGTGACATAACCATTATACCACTTGCTGGTTCCATCTGTTTCTTTCTTTCTTTCTTTTTTAGAGAGTTTTTTTTTTTTTTTTTTTTCTATGGGACATGTGTGTTTGCCAGGGAGACAGAGAAAGAATGACGGAAAGCCAAAAGTCACCCCCCAGGGGATGGCCATGCTGCAATCCCTTTTCTTTCATTCTTTTCTTGGGATTTTGGGTAGGCATGCACATGCACCCGACATGAGATTCAAGCATCCCGGTCTGTGATTCAAAACATTGTCAGCCATGTGGGAGTCTAGCAACATAAATAACTGTTATGCTATCTGCTGATCCTAACATAAACCTCTTCTGACATTATTTTAACATGAACATAATTGGAAGTTTTTATTATATTTTTAAATTTGGTATAATGTGTGTGTACTTATAGGGTGGGATAAGGTGAGAAAGCATTCCCCTGAGGGAATGGCCATGCTGCAATTCCTTCTCCTCTACTGTTTTCTCAGGATTTTGTGTGCACATGTGCCCAATATGCTTTTCAGGTTGGCAGGTCTTGTACTCGAACCATGTAGTCGACCATGTGGGATCCAGCCATTGCACTGACTGGTCCCTAGAAGGTTTTCAGATGGCCTATTTGCTTTTGTTTTTTAAATTTGAAATGACTCTGCAGAGGGTGTCATCAAGTTTCAATGGTCTGAAAAGCAGTTCTAATTTAAAATTCTTTTTCTTTCTAAAATTATAATTCCTTTTCAGATTAAGAAACTTTGTTGCCAGACCCTTAACTACAAAGTAGTGTATTTCATTGTTACAAATTCACACTGTTCATATGGGCAAAGAACAAGTAAAATCTCCCCTCCCATTTTTTTTTGTTTATGTATCTATTTCTTTTATGACAGAGAGAGAGAGAGACAGAGAGAGAGCGAGTACTCCCTATGGAGTCCCTACACTGTGATCTGCCAGTCTTCAGCCAACTTGGACAATGGGCAAGTGTGTTCAGGGAGGACTCTGGACTTGATGTGGGAATCTTCTCACGTGGGGTTGCCTCGCTGAATGTTGGGTTCTACCACTACACCATCGTCTGCCCACCCCTTCTTTCCTTTATTTTAAAAAATGTTTTGTTTATTTGGTTTTATTCAATTACATACTTCAATACAGACACTGATACTGATTTTTAAATTCTTATATGAGCCTTTATAGATTCTTTTTTGGTGGGAGACCAGATAGCACGTTAACTCACCAGAGGGAGAAAGCACCCCCAATGAGGTGTAGTCATGCTATGTATGATCCTTTCTCCTTCATTTCTCTGTCCCGTCATTATTTTGTGCACACGTGCACAAGTACCTGGTGTGTTTTTCAAGCTGCCAGGGTTGGGATTCAAACTGCCTTTTGCCATATGGAATCTATCTCACAGTGCATAGTACTTAATTGATACTCTGCAGGGATGCCCCCTACTTTATACCACTCTTTGAAACCATTCTTTTTTTTTTTGGAGAGGTTTTTTTGCTATAGGGCGCGTGCGCTCACCAGACAGACAGAGAGAGACAAAGAGATAGAAAGTGAGAAATCACTCTCCAGGGGGGATGGCCACGCCGCAATCCCTTCTCCTCCATTCTCCTCTCAGGATCTTGGGCACGCATGCACACGCGCCCGGCGTGAGTTTAAGTCACTGGGTCCGGGACTTGAACCGTGGTTGACTACGTGGGAGTCCAGCAACATAGCTATTATGCTAACTGCTGGTTCCAAAAACCATTCTTAATAGTTTGGTATATAGCTTTTTAGACTTTTGTTTTATTTTGTGTGTATATATATATATATGTATGTATATATATATATGTTTTATTATATATTATATATTGAATATAATATATAAAAATACATA